GAAGAGGCAAGATAAGAAAGTTGTGACTATTGAAACAACACAAATAACAATAAATAAATAAAAAAAATACAGCAACGAGTCAAGTATACAAGTTTAATTTGCAAAAGCATTGTTGTGTCATTCACCCTACAGATTAAAGCTGAAACCCTTTGGCTGCACATCACTGCTGTGAAGATGGGAAATGCACAAATGGAATAAATTACCTTCAGATGTGTGGACAACTTCTTCTCCTGGCTTTTCTTGACTGCAAAACAAAACACACAAGAGATAAAAATAAAAACAAACTACGCGAACGCTTCCAACATTACTCAAATTAATGACAATTAAACGTGTTTCAGCAGATGGCAAACTTACACAAGTAGAAGACAGTACAATAACAATATGTCCTCGGATTACCTGCAGTTGCTGACAACACAGTTGTTTGTTTTTAAAAAGCTAGCTTAAGCTAACTTAGCTGATGTACTGTCATTAGCTAATTATTATCATGTTTTGAACAACTGGACATTGTTATTGTGGCTTTTGAATACTCTACAGGTGCAAAGTCGTCCACCCCTGTTGCCAACTTAACCACTGTGTTTTTGAATTCGCGTTTTGAATAACATGTTTCTTTTTGGGGGGGGAGGGGGTCAGGCCTTGTTTAAGCGTCGTAAACTAGCCGTCTGTGTTAGCATGTTGTTGCTAGCTTGTCCCAGTTAGCCATTTTTGACCGACTCCCGTTACCTTGCGTTGTCCAGACTCGGTTCAAGCATATCCATCAGTGTGAGAATAAAAAGTGATGTTCGGTGTCACGGGCGGAGATGGAAGTGCTGATCACGGGAACAAACACTCGGGTCATGTGAGAGAGACAGCCCAGGACACGTGAGGTGCGGCTCGGTGTCGGAGTTAAAATGGAGGCCGGTGATGATGATGATGACGACGGTGCCGCAGCTCACCGGAGACCACCGGGGTCATCAGGATCACACCGCACCGGACTGTCTTTATCCTTAATGTGAGACGACAAACCCGAAGATCATTACCAGCCGCAAGTTATAATCACGATATCGGTCATCTGAGGAGAATATAAGAAGAACAAAAAACGGAACATTAAAATGTAAATCAGCTGTTATGTGTCCTCTGGGTTACATCGGTGTTCAGTTTCTTTATAAAATTAGGCTTATAATGGTCAGACAAGTATTATATAGACTAGAATAGGTGTTTATTGCCATTTGCACAGGTGCAGGACAGGTACAGTGGAATTCTTGCCTTCTACAAAAAAAAAAAAGTTAAGATTATATATAAAATTGAAAAGCATTGTAAGAAAAAAAAAAGAAGGATTACAAAAAAGTAAAAAAATAAATAAGTTGTATTAACAGCTAAGTAAATTAAAAATAAACCGTACAGATGTTATACACTGTATTAAAGCAAAGATATAATACAAAAAAATAACAAGGGGAACAATATAAAAACGTTTATAGGCCATGACACATTATTGTTATTTATCCCCAGAGATAGAAGACTTGTAAAATACAATTTCTGTTTACATCCCTCTCCAAACACTATTAAGTTTCTGATTGTTTTGGTTTTATTTGTTGGGGTCATTTCTTATTTCTTTATATTGCTTTTTTTTTAACATAATTTTGAATCACTTGATAATGGTATTTTGAAATTAGTGGCGATTAGTGGTGTTTTTAAAACTCGCCATAAAACATATTTTTACTCAATTGCTTTTAATGTTCAGTAACCTGTTTTTTTTTTTGTTTTTTTTAAATTGTTGTTATTCTTGTCTGTTACTTTTTAATGCTTTGTTTCTGCAATGTTCAGCACTTTGGATCAATCAATGTTGTGTTTAAAGTGTTATATAAATAAAGTTGATTTGATTTGATTTGATTCTAGAGTATGCACAAATATTAAATGTGGGGCCCCTTCAACCACCATCTTTCTTTTTCCACTCCATTAAGGATAATTCCTCTTAATTTTCCTTCGGTAACTTTCACTGACAAACTTTGGTTTACACAGAACGGGACACCTAGCAGGAATAGAGCGTTAGTACTATCAGTACTCCCCTTTAGGGAGGTTTTCTACTGTCATAGCAAAATGTGCACAATTTGAGGCGCTGCTGTGATGTAAGGTTTGTCAGCCCTTGGGGGCCCACTATTGGCCTGGGACCCGAAGCAGTTGCCTGCCTTGCCTTTTGAAAAGCAACGCCTCTGTTTGAAATGCTATTAAGTTTATCATTTATTCAGCAAAGTTATCTCTCCCATCATTAGACTACATAAAAATGGCAAAGAGATCAGTGGTGAGTTTGGGTGGTCTGTTTTACAGCATTGAAAGTATTTTATTCACCTTATGAAAAGCAGAGAGGGGAGATATTGAAAGACTCTTCCCAGCGTAATGCAAATAGAACTCAACAGCACACCATGATGATGGAATAGCCTATCTAAGTGATCTAATATGATAGACCCCCCTCTTGGTGGCTCCCAACCCCCATTTTGGAAACAATTGTCATAGACATTTTAATTAAAAAGTCTGATGAATAGAGGATTTATTGTAGAAAGTATTGCATCCGTTTTTAACTACTTTGGTGGGCCTTTTGTTCTACTAATATTACGTTTTCACATTATGTTGAGGCTTTAAATGTTACATTATTGTAATTTAAGATATTAACAATGACATTGTCATTTTGAAGTGGCCATATGGGCGGTGAAAAACATTGATTCTTGTTCTTTGATCTCTATTATGTAATCAACCCTCTGTCTTTTGATTTACATAAAGATACACAAAACAATTAAAGAGAATGGAATGAAAGGAGAAGAAAAAAGGCACAAGACTGAGCAAATAATGTAAAGACAAAAATTTTAATATTTTTGTCAAAACAAAAATGCTTTTGTTGAAAAAAAAAGTTATTCAAAAATATTGTGACTTCTTCTTTTTTATTATTTCTTAATTTCTTAATATTTCGCTCACATTCAAAAGGGCATAGCCTGTCGTGATTTTTAAATCATAAAGGTCGTCGATAAGTTATTTGACAGGTGTCATTTGAAGACTTTACAGCTATCACCGTTTGCAGTGAACTTTCCCCCACTCAAAGCGGAACTTTTCTTTTTCGGGGTTTGTTTCCGTCTCATTTTCTGATAAGCACCAGAATAAACACAGGTGAATCGTCCTAATACACACGGATTTAATAGTAATTAATAATAGATAGAAGCCATTAAATTTGTTCTACCGTCTACCTTCTTCTTCCGCAAAATACTTTATAAGTTTATAACCTTTGGACCACGAAATCAACGACACCGACTGAGTGTCTGATGAATTTAGAAACGATTAAAGACGCTATAGCCAATCAGTGACGAGATCGCTCATTCCCGTTAGCTTGTCATTGGCTGCAGCGGTAGGCGGGTCCCCGTCGCGTTACTCCCCCTTGGTGTCACCGTAAAATAAGTCCGACCTCTCCTCCTTGGGTGAAGGTCCATTGCGGTGACTCTTTTCGCGTTAGTGGCTATCAATCGTTTCAGCTACCATGTCTGGCCGCGTTCTCGTTGGAGTTAAACGTGTCATTGACTACGCTGTTAAGGTAATATTCGACTTCTTGACATTTTCCACGTTAAAATACATTCCCGTCTGTTCTTCTTCACTTGACTTTCTGAGTTCTGCTAGCTGTCGTTAGCCTGCCAGCTGGCAGTGTCCCACTAGCTAAGGAGCGCAACTACTTTACTGTACACATATTTGAGAAGTATGTGTACAGCCTGAAGCAAAACACCTATTTCAGCATGCAGCATGACGCACTATTTAAAAAAACAAAAAAACAAACAGTAAGCAACAGTGGTGTATAATTTCCTCCATGGTACCTGAGTTAGTGTCAGGCAGTGTTTTGTAACCTCATGTCTGGCTGAACAATTGTGCAACTCCTGTTAAGAATAATCCCCACTTTAATAAGGAGCTTGTAGGGAAATGGTGCATTCACTTTTTTTTTTGTCTCCTTGAGGTGAAAGCACAACACCTTAATACACATACTTTTGCAGCTGTTTCATGTCACAGCAGGAACAGTCCTGCTGCAGCTGCCTGTAGCAGGATCTGTACAGTTTCAGTGCTGACACATTATTTACTCTCCTCAGACAGTCGACCAGACTGACAGTCATCTTAGATTTAAATATGATGATGGGTCAGGATGTACCCTTTTTGTTTTTATTGCTTTTTATGCTGTACAGAGGTAAACTGTTATTTTATGTCAACTTTAATGTGTGACTGAGTCTTCTTAAATCAGTATGACATGTGTGATGTTGGGTCGATTGTTTAATAGCAGAGGATTTTTTTCTTTTTCTTTAAGCGATTCAGTCGTTGCCATAATAAACGTCTTAAACTTAAACTTGTACAGTAATTTGATACAAGTGAATAGACGTAGTGGCCGGAAAGTATTTGTGGACCCTCTTGTTCATATTGTCTGACCTTTTTGTTTAAATGATAATCATAAAGTTATACTGTCAAAAAAAACCCAACTAATTATAAAACACCAACTTGTGGCAAAAATCATGAGGGATTTGTCTGTTTTGACAAGGTATTTCCCCCCCATGATCAAGAAATATTCTCTGAGTCTGAAGTAGAAGAACTTAATTGGTACAACTGGCACATTGCTATGACAGTCACCTCTTCATATGAATTTAACATTTTGACGTGGGGTGAGAGCCAGGCCTTATCACCTAAAATTAGCACAAGTACCAGCCGGGACTATTGCTCTCACTACCGAACAAGTTCAGATCTCTTAAGCTCGTCAGCCAGAGTTTCAAAATCTCAAGGAAAGCCTTCTCATAACATTTGAGGCTGAACAGCTGAACTTCTTTATTTTCCAGATGACTAATTTCACACCCTGAGGGGAAGCTCTCCGCTATAATTTTGTAGTATAAAGGAATGCTTCGCAATAACAGGTGAGGGTAGAGTCTGCAAAAAGTCAACATACAATCAGCCAGCTACAGGGCTCTGTTTTACATTCATTACTAAATGCTATTATATGATTTGGACATTTTTCTGTAGGGGTTGACTGATTATCTCCCTGATCGATTATTGGGGCCAGATATTAGAGTTTTGTTTTATGTCGGCCAATTTTTTGTGTGTTACTTTGGCTCCGCTGCAGTTGTGTCTTTCCCTTCTGGGTCTTTTTTAACTCACCTCTCTGTCTCACCCATTGTCCTGCCTTCAAAACTTTCTGATTTGCTCGACGTCACGCAAGTAATAGCCAGTCAACACTGAAGACCGGGTGCCACTGACATACACAGAGACAAGAGCAGACTGAGGGCCTGATCACACAGAAACGTACAGCGCTTGCCAGGCACTCGTCTCTGCTGCTGCTGATGCATTTTTGGGCGCGCACAGTGAACATCTTTTCCACTTTTCATCTCAAGACGTGGAGTCGCAGCGCTTGTCAATGCCACAACCAAGTAGGAGGCTTTACCTCTGCTTTGAATCAAAAAATTCTGCTCCTAGTCTATCAGCAAAGCATCGTGGAGAGCTCTACTTTCCCAGACGCCTAGCTCAATGTGTCTCTGTGTGATTGGGCTCTTAGGATGGAGGAGAGTCTCTGGTTGAGCAATCAAACAAAGTCTTGTGTTGAAGTTTGTAATATTTTAAATTCTGAATGTTCACAGAAAGATTGACATTTTCACTGTAAATGCAAATTGGTAATCAGTATCACTAACATGTTGAATAAGTACTTGTGTCAGATAGTTTGCCAGAGAATTGATATAGATAGCTTGTTTTCAAGCACCCCTGCAGTGACTCTGCCCTGTGGTCGTCTTCCTCCTCAGATCCGCGTGAAGCCGGACAACAGCAGCGTGGTGACGGATGGCGTGAAGCACTCGATGAACCCCTTCTGTGAGATCGCTGTGGAGGAGGCGGTCAAGCTGAAGGAGAAGAAGCTCATTAAGGAGGTTGTGGCTGTCAGCTGTGGCCCACAGCAAGCACAGGTGGGTGAGGCGGGGCGGGGTCAGACTTGGCAGCCCTGCCTTTTTAATCAATGTCCCTCCTGAAATACAGTACGGTTTGGCAGGAAGCCTTCTTTTTGAAGAGTTCTTTCCAGGGGTTTCAATCTTTTTTATAGTTTATCTTCTTGGCTTCAGCTTCATATGAAATGTTTGAACGGGGAAAGGATGTCCCCCCTCTTGAATTAGTGTTAATATAATTGAAGAAATGTTGATTAAATGAGTCATTATTGAAACGCACTCATTGTACCCCGTCTGATCAGATACTTAGTTTAAAAATAGACATTTAGGAGGAAGCCATTGTCATTTTAATAGGGATACATTTAACAAATCAGACATTAGTTTATGTCCAACCACATCGCTGTTATAATTTTCTGGGAACAAACTGTAATAGGGGAACATCAACAAGTTATTTTATTTTCCATTAATACAAGTTGTTTGACCCTGTACCTCTCCCTCTTTTAGGAGACCATCCGTACTGCCCTCGCCATGGGAGCCGACCGCGGCATCCATGTGGAAGTGAGTGGGAAGGACTATGAAACCCTGGGGCCCCTGCAGGTCTCCAAGATCATGGCTGCTTTGGCCAAGAAGGAGGAGGCTCAACTCGTCATCCTGGGAAAACAGGTAGAGTCATATCAGTCTCACAATTTCAGTCGAGCTCAAACTTCCTACTCTCTTATCACGGTCAGTCGACACAAACATGACCTTCTTTAAGTGAGTTGTGTTGCTTTCTTAGGCCATCGATGATGACTGCAATCAGACAGGGCAGATGACAGCCGCCTTATTGGACTGGCCTCAGGTGAGTACTAACTATTTATTTTTATCAGGGCCGAGTAAAACCTGTCCCTGAAGAGAAACAGAGTCTAAATCTAGGTTGTTATTGTAAATTGGAATACATCAGGTTCTACTTTTTCCATTTGTTGTTAGAAATAAGTGACATAGTGCTGATATCAGGCTGTGTTCCTTTCCTGGACGCCTTATCAAAGTAAGCAGAGACTAGTTGGGGTCAGTGCGAGCCGCAGTGTTCCCGCACACAGTGGAGAGAGCAGGTTAAGGGCGGCTCAGACAAGAGAAATGAAGTTCCTCCGACTCACCAATAGATGGAGTGCTTTGGTAATATGTTACAGCTCAGTCTGCAAGTTGAGCAGTAAAGCACATGCTCAAATCTAAATCAGCTGATTTCTAAAAGGGGGCAATAGTTCAAATCTGTTCTATAATTCTTACTGACATGTTATTACCACCAGCTCGATGACCTTTCTCAGTTTATAGTCTGAGGACATCCCTCTGCCTGGATTAGTCGCAACAACAAAAAAACACACCAGCAGATGGGGCAGTTTTACAGTCTCATAACCTGAGCTGTGGTTCAGTGGTAGAGTCGGTCATCTCTCACCAGGAAGGTCAGGGGTTTGATCCCCGGCTCCTGCAGCAACATGTCCGATGTGTCCTTGAGCATGACACATAACCCCAAGTGAAAAACTAGAATGGCGCTATACAAGCGCAAGTCATTTCCTATGTAAATAACCCCACAGTGGGATAGAAGGGGGATGAGTTATGATGCATGTGCATATTCTTTCTGTTTTTCAGATGGTCTTTTGTTTTTGTTTTTCATTTTGATTTTAATGAATTCATTTGTGCTCTTTTCTTTATGTTTCAGGGAACCTTTGCATCAGAAGTGGCGTTTGACGGAGACAAGATTAAAGTGGTGAGAGAAATAGATGGTGGCCTGGAAACCATAATGATCAGCTCACCTGCAGTGATCACAGCGGACCTTCGACTCAACACCCCCAGATATGCCACCCTGCCCAACATCATGGTAGGTAACAGGGTAATGTGACCAGAAAAGAAAAGGCAACGGACCCTTTAAGCGAAGCCTAAAGTTGCATCTATAACACATAATTTGTATTTTATTATGGTTTTAAAGAGCTCAGTGCTATTCACACAGACAGTTGTACAGAGTCTGTGTAATACCCTTCTCTTGTGTGACCTTTTCTACTTTCAGAAAGCTAAGAAGAAGAAGATAGCTAATGTGAAGCCTGCAGACTTAGGGGTGGACCTCACATCACGGTTGGAGGTGTTGAGAGTGGACGAGCCCCCACAGAGAGAGGCGGGGGTGAAGGTGGAGACGGTGGACGACCTGGTTAGCAAACTGAAAGATGCAGGGAGGTTATAAAGCTTCAGGAGAATAAGCAGGGGAGTGCAGAACTGAGCAGCAGGGTGAGTATCTCGGGATCCGTCAGACTGACTGAAACTAGATTATTAAGAGTTAAGAACAGAACGAGCAGATTCAGTATCAGATCAGTTTGCATTATGATCCGTAAAGATCCACTTCATTATGTCATATAGGGTGACAACTGACCGACTGTCTGAAACAATATTTATTCACTGCAATTTGGAATCACACTTCATCTCTTACTTTCTTTTCACCACTGTCGGACATTATTCCGCTCTTTCTCTTTTGCAATTAATTTCAGTTCACATCACCCTCATTCATGTCGTAAGCGAGGAGTCATGAAGTAGTGACACCATTAGCAGAGGCGCTGCTTATCAACAGGCAAGACAGGCAACCGCTTGAGGCCCCAGACCAGCAGGGGGCCCCGAGGGCTCACAAACTTGGCCCAAAAATGTGCAAATGTGCAAATTTTGCAACCTCCCCCTTTGTCAATGAATTTCAACTATAGGAGAGGAAAAATAGAGGAAGAGGAGTAAGTGTCGGGACTGTGGAAGACATATAAGAATAGTGATGAACGCTGGTTGGAGGGCCCCCTAATTATTTTTGCCTAGGGCCCAGACAGACTCTAGAATCGCCACTGACATGAGCCAAAAAAAGCCAAGGAAATCAGAGTGTCATATTTAAAAAAAATAATTAAAATATCATTATTTGGCACTAGCGATTCATTAGTTGTAGCAAATGTGTCAGTACATTGCCGTATCAACATTTTGTCACACCCCTAATATTAAACGTTTGTGATATTAATATATTTTTGGATGTCGAGTTTTGAATCGAGGTTCACTAGGAAATGGGGGGTGAAATACTTCCTGAAAATGTGTAAGGTAAAACTGCCTTCCTGAAAAGTAAACATTAAACCGTCTCACATTTTCCTTTTTATGACTTGATACTTTTCAGGCTTCTGTTTTTATGCAGCACAGTAACCCTCTTATCATAACGGATAGAATTGCTATAGCTAGATTTGCCTGGAATATTAATATCATGATATCCTTTTTATCCCTTTCTCTTCATTCCAAAAAAAAAAAAGAAATCTAATTAATTGCTTTGACAAAGAGCATTGTGTTGCTTGTGTGGATGAAAGCAAAACTAATTAAAGATTTTAATTGCAGCTCTTGTCTTGCTTTACATATCATACGTTCCTTTCTCTCCTCGCAGGACTCACTAATGAATAACTGGACTGTGTTAAATAGGCACGCCTGGAGGACTAGTTATGCACTGGTCTAATCCCTCTGTTTGACTCTGTGGCTCCTGAGGATGTGCGGGAGGAATGAGACACACTGTCCTTCAGCAGACCCCACAGAAACACAAAGGATCATCTTGTCTTGTATCTACATTTTTAATTGACGAGTACACCTGTATAATATGCCATAGATCTAACTTAAGCAGACTTTATGCAACAACTGAAACCCAGAAACGTCCTATCATTCATGCTTCTGTTTGTATTGCAGTGTACTTTAAAGCCACCAGTGTGATGCATTTCATTTTTTTGTAAATGATATGTGTAAATATAGATCCAAACATGTGGAGATGATGTTCTTCAAGATGAGTGCTAAATCTACTGGTAATCTGTATAGTTTGTGTAACTGGGTTTCACTACTGCTTTGACGGTGTCCTTCAGGATGATCAAGAGACGATGATCAGAAATCAAAATGTAACCATAAGCGCCTCCATTCTCTGTTGATTGTACAGAACATTAAAATAAAGCAGCCAGTCTTTGTCATATCTTAACACACCTGTATATGTCATTTTTCTCTTAAGTGTTTTGGAGAAGTTTAAATAGAACTGTTCACCAATACTCAGGGTCTGCAGTTTGTGCTGAGTGGCTTTGCACTAATCTGAGGGAATGTTTTAACACTTACTCTGTGAAATATATAACTGAAAAAAACTTGTGATTGAGCAACATCTTTCAAAAACAAACCAGGAGACAACCGTTATGAAAATGACACCCCACAGTGTGCAATCCTCAATATAAGCATAAAGAAATTCAGTATCTTTAATGACAATTTGACTCATCATTATAAGATGTTTTGTCTTGTCCTGCGTCTTTTCTCATCGTCTAGTTCAGTAGAGGTCTTTTTTTAGATTAATTACAGCATCTTTAATGCTGTTTAGAACTTATCATCTATCTGCCCTATTTTTAAAGTAATTGAGACGAACGGTTTGATTTTGGATTTTTTTTTAAATTACTCCTAGATACAACCAAATTCAATCGTATTGTAAAAAGAAGGGTACAATAATACACTTTGTTTTAAACGTAATTTTATTTTTAGATTACAGACCACACACACTGTTGTACTAATTTACTATATAATTAGTTTCAAAGTATTTTGTTTTATTAATATGATACCCTTCAGGTTACCTTGGTGAATAAATCCATGAAGGACAAAACAAGGACACCCTGTTGGTGAGCTGACCAGGATCTTTCAACACACCTCATGGCGTGTTTATTTTTAAGTTATTTACAAGTCAAACTTTTTTATTCATCAGTGATTCAATTTAAATAAATAAAAACTCCTTCATTTAAAATAGAAAACATTTAAAACGGTTTTATGTTTGCCTCTTTACCTGCACCTGAAAAGCGGGGAGGGGAGGGGCGTGGCCTCACGCGCACAATCAAGGCTTTCAGTCGGCACAGGTGAGCTACTCACGAGCCCTGCTGACAGTTCGAGATCGAGAGCGAATAGGTGGACACACACACACACACACACACACACACACACACACACACACACACACACACACACACACACAGTCACTTCTGTTGAAGACGCCAGAGGACATTTCTTCGGTTGTTTTTAACTGGAAATAAAGTCAATCAGAAGGCTCTTTCAGGAGCTCGCGAACTCAATTCTTCACGTCTGGCTCGTTGTCTCACTAAAATGACGAAGGTGGATAAAACCAAGAGATTTAGCGAAGTTTTTCTGTTCCTTTTATTGAGCTGCACTTTTCAAGGTAAGATACAAACTAACTTTACGTTTTTAATTTATGAGCGAAACGTTTATTATCCCAAACCATTTAGGCTAATTAAAACAAATAACGTCATAGCCTAGAAAACATCTCTGAGTAAAACATTAAATATATAATATTTAATTTGTCCTTTTCATGGATGTACATTGAAGCATGGTAATTCTGTATGTTTGTTCTTATTTTGATAGCAACATGTGAGAATATCATATTTGCCTGTCCCATATCTTCCTGTGTCCATTTATTGCATAAACTGTTAAGAAAATTGTCTCCCTACAGGCTTGTCAAGGATTTAGAGAAGTAAGACATGACTTTTTGTCTCCACCCTGACAGGTACTCACTGTGAGCTGGTGCTCTCTCCCACTGGTCATACTGTGGTGAATGCTGAAGTTGGGAGAAATGTGACTCTGGCTGTGTCCTTCAGTGGTGCCACTGACCCTGTAGTTGCCTGGTTCATGAAGGATGTACCTGTCATCACATGGACTTTTGGCTCTTCTCCCATAATTGATGGAAAAAAAACGAACGTGCTGAGGCTCGAGCCAAATGGATCTCTGACATTTGTAAATGTGTCACTTGAATTTAGCAGTAACTATACTTTTGAAATCACAAAGGCTGGACTTAAACAAGTCTCGACAACTTTCACTCTTAATGTATTTGGTGAGTATACAAGTGAGCTTTTAGTTTGGAGGTTTGCTGTTTTGAGGTTTGGATTTAATGGCTCATTTAACCTGTCAATGTTGCCTCCATCTCACCATTAAACACATTTTTTATATTCTTTTGCTCCGTTGTTCAGATTTCTGTTCCCCAAAATGGAAAACATTGACTGGATTAGGCATCGATTGGGACCGTACATACTCTGTAAAGTCTAGGTCCAGAGTTGTGAGTTTGAAAAGTGTTTTAGTGAAGACAAGACACCTCTCTGGGCTGGAGTTAAGTTGTAGTTGGGCAAAAAGCAAGTTAAAGGGTCACAAAAAAGTGTTTAAAATGCAGATCAGAAAGTCAAGAGGCAAGCCTCACATGTAGTGCAAATACAGTTCAAGTAACCTCACTTAAATTCTGGTGTACTAGTTAACATGTAAATGATGTGAGATATATTCTAGGGAAGCAGTAGGATCATTTCCTATTCAGAGCACATATAGGTTTCTAGATTATTCAGGATCATAGATACTCTATCCACTGGAGGAAAATTTGCCGTTGGTGTTGTTTTCAGAACATAAGCATCAAGAAAAGTAGGAATTATGCTTGATCAAGTTTTCCTCTGCAGTCCTGGGCTGCTTATAAGTGGTCACTGCGGCACTGTGTAGTGGCCAGAAAAGGCAAATTGCTTGATTACTGTATGTGTACCTGCATCAGTTCAATCATGGCCTAAATGTGGTATCAAGTATTGGTGACATAAGTAAGTGAGAAGCAGAGAGCACTGCTATTTAAGACTAGCAAAATGTCATTATATTCACTGCCAGTGCTGTTTTTTTTTTTTTTGTTGGCTACACTGAATTGCCCAATGTTCAAATCTAGGAATTGTGGAAGGAAAGCGTGCTATCAATTCATTTTAACTTTCGAGAAAGAGATATATTCAAGTGCCTTTCTTTTAACCAAATCAGTTCTTCATCCCCCTCTTCCACCATCATCTCACCTTTTCTCTCTCACAGAAATCATCCAGAATGTGACTCTGAGATCAGAGCCAGATTTGGTCATAGAGGGGACTGACCGCTTCATGCTGGAGTACAGCATGTCCCAAGGAGTGGTCCAGCAACAGACGTGGTTCTACAACGGCAGGGAGATACAAACCAACTCAAACAACTCAAAAGACAAGAGTCTTGTGATCCTTAGGCCGACCCGCAGCGACACTGGACAGTACTCTGTGTTTCTGACAAACCCTTTTGGGAGTGTGACAACATACATGAATGTCACTGTGCTGTGTAAGTCTGAACTTTGATTGAAAACCTTTGTTTGTTTCCCTTTCTTCTCTTGAAACTCTCCTGTCTCTTCTTGGTTGTCTGTTATAGATGGACCAGAAGATCCCAAAATTCAGGCACGCCCTGCTCAGCCTTTCTACGTATCAGGAGACTCTCTGCTCCTCTCCTGTTTGGGGGAGGGGTCCCCTAAGCCATCTATTGAGTGGATCTTTGGTGGTCAGAACATTTCGCGCTCAGCAATCCTAAATCTTACAAATGTAAAGACCGGTCAAGGAGGCGACTATACATGCATGTTGCTCAATGAGCTGACTAAAAATCAGAGCCAAATAAGCTTTACGTTAGACGTTTACGGTAAGTGAAAAGAATGAGTTTTCATTTTGTTTTTAGGCGTGTAGGTTATGTCAAGCTGTTCTTGATGAGATCTCTACTTCTATAGAAATGTTTGTTAATCAGTCAGAAAACTACTAAAAACAATATATCTTGTTTTATCTAATGCATTTTTTTAAAGGGATTATTTGAAATATAAACTGTTTCAGAGTTAGCGTAAAGCTAATTTTTTTTATCAGCAGTCACTTGGTTACAACAGGAAGAACAAAATACAGATTAACAACTGTAAAACAAATAGGTCTACTTTCAATAATTTAAATTGATAAATAAAATCTTTACCACCTTTGCAAACTTTCTATAAATGGGTTAAAGGAAAGTACAGCACTAAAATCAGACCAGTCCAGAATAGCCCTGAAAAGGTTTAAATTTTGCAACATAAGTGACTCTGATCTCACCTGTTTGGATAGTATATATCAAAACAGAGCCATATAGGAATAATTGTGCCTGCTGTGTGGTTCACTTTAATTATGTCTGACCAATCTTGTGTTTGGACAGAGAGGCCATCAGAGAACCCGCTTTGCTCTGTGCAGTCCGTGAATAATAACGTCGACTTGCAGTACCACTGTCAGTGGTCTGGGGGAACCCCTCAGGCACGGCTTTTTTTCCCAGAGCTTGACAACAGCAAAAGTGGATTAGGAAACTTAAGTCTGACTGTCAATGCTTCAGAAAACCTTGACGGGAGAACTTTCATGTGCTTGACTGAGCACCCAATTGAAAAGAATAAATGCAACATTACTGCAAGTAAGTTCCAGATTATTTCATGAATTTTGTGAAAAAACATACATTTTAAATTTAAAACTTACTAACGTCGATTGGTCAAAAACCCTAAAAGAATTTTCTTCCCTAGGTAGTCCCTTGAAGTTCCTGCCAACTGTGCAAACCACAGTCAACTTTGCAGGCAAAATAGTGGTCAGTATCCACTGCGTCAGTGAGGCGTCTCCCAGCGCTGTGGTGTTGTGGTCCAGAGGCAGCGAGGCTGTCACCAACGGGACAACACACCAGATCAGCAGTGACACAACGCAGCTCCAGATTCGTGACTATAACGTCAGCAACTTCCTCCTCCAAAACTACACCTGTACATGTAAAAACCCATTGGGCGGCCAGCGGAGGGAAATCCAATTAAGAGGTATCAAACGGCTGTCATTTGAATTTATTTTGCCTTACAACATTAAGCAGCAGAGGGACTCTATCAAATGCATCCTCTAGTATTACTTTGGTTTCTCTAACTTCTTCTCTCAAACCATGGAGATCTACTTTACATTTTAAAGACAACACATATAGTGATTAGTGGGAGTTACAATTCACTTTCAACATCAAGATGTCATTTTTAGAAAAAGGAAGATCAGTTAAGGAGCCTCATTTTATCTTGGATAACTCCCACTGGCTGAAGGATCAAAATGCTGCTTTAATTAATAACATTAATGAAACATGTATTAACAGGATTGAAACTGTATTTTAATT